TAACTTAATCATTATTTATAAGTAATTATTCAATAATAAAATATTGTGAATTTTATATCGAAAGGAAAAAACAACTACTGAGTTGTTTTTTCCAACATGACAATGTAGTATACAATGTCCCTTCTCGGCGGACTATTGTAAATTCATTAAATTTACTAAATGTCCTTTACTGGACAGTTGTAAATAAAAGAGTTAATAAAAAAAAAAAAGAATTAAAATTCTCAAATATCTTCAATCATTCAATGTTTTCAAAAAAGTTGAAGGTTATTTTGAAAATCATACTTTTTGGTACGGGATTTATTTCCTGCAATTTGCCAAGGCATGCCATGCACCACTAGTTATCGTAGATTTTATCAGTGCTCTACGATGCATAATGGTAATTGAGAGTGTATCTGGTATGTGTAAGACTAATAACAGTTGAAGTATAAAATTATACAAAGTAAACATATTTATGCATTTTTACATATATTAAATTGTCTAAATTTCTTGTTTAATACATCAGCCGGTTCTCGTAACTCTCTGAATTCGTACGTGAGTTTGTACTCTATAATTTCTTTTATGGTGTTTTAGGTTTAATTACTACTGCCCCGTGCATATTTTTATAAAAGCATAATTGGAGCTGAATAATTGATATTCGTTATAATGAATAAGTAAGATGCAAAACGCAGAGCGTCGGCATTGTGTCTGAGCCGTCCGAGAGAAAAATACCTGCCCATCGAAAGAAACCAAAAAGCGAACTATTACACAACCTGTAATCAAAATTGAAAAAGCAGCTCATATAATAATCCTAAAGCGATTGGGCCCCGATTACTATATTTAAGTCGCACACGAGCCAGTAGGATTCGAACGCACCCCGGCGTGGAAAGAGCAAGCGAGACCCGCGCTCATACGGACGCACACCGACCGACGTTGATCGCATAGAGCGCTGAGCGCATAGCATTCCTCCAAGAGAGCCGGGCGCATGCGTCCGACTCGGGGCACGCACTAATAGCGTTTCCATATAATGAATATTATAGTTATTTTACTACCAGACATGTGAAATTATAAGTCCATAAAAACGATGGATGAATTCAATGATTTATGCCCGCTTTATTTACACAATTATTGCCTAGATACACTTCGCTGTCGTTATAGCAGATCAAGTGGTCTAGATATTCAACAAAACAATTATCGGCGATGACAAAAATACAATACACAATTGTATATATATACAATTTAATATGTCATTTTATTGTATATATTTTATATTATATAAAATCTTTAAGATGAAAAGTGAAAAGTAATTTAGTTAATTTGGTTGTGCAGAACCATATTCATATTATATAATAGTAATGCGTTATACTCTACTAATAGTAGTTACTAATGCATACTAATAGTAGTTACTAATGACTATATGCCAATCTTCTAAACTAAAAGTTTAATATGATTACCATATAATCTAGGGAGGCATGGCATCGTACCTTGAAGCAAATTGCTTGAAAATAACATTTTTTTGTTTTAAATATTATTTTTTTATGCAATGTCATTTTCATTTGAAAATTTTGAAAATTTTAAATTTTTTGAAAAAATTGAAAAAAAAACGACTTTTGAAAATTTTAAAACATATTCACTGCTAGTAAATAGAGTTGTGCAGAACCATATTCATTTTATATAATAGTAATGAGTATTGAAAGCATTACTAATGACTATATGCTAATCTCCTAAACTAAAAATTTAATATGATTACCATATAAACTAGGGGTGCATGGCATCGTACCTTGAAGCAAATTGCTTGAAAATATCATTTTTTTTATTTTAAATATTATTTTTTAAGATTTCAAGATTAATGACATTGATCATTTTTATTTGGAAATTTTGAAAATTTTGAATTTTTTGAAAAAAAAAATGAAAAAAAAACGACTTTTGAAATTTTTTTGAAAGACACGCCGCTGGGTGTTGCTACTATCTTCTGGTTTATATTGTAAGACAATTATTGTTAGCAATCTCCGCTTAATGTTAATGTTCATGTAAAACAGATTGCAGAATAAATTAAATAAAAAAAAATTCACTACTAGTAAATACTAGTCGGTTGATCCGTACTGTTCTAATTGTCGCTCGTCAGGACATTTGTTTGAACTTTATAGGTGAACCTTAATCATTATGAATACTGTTAAGAAATCCATAAAAATCGAAACAAAGTGTGTACTTTTTAGTAAAATCTCTATAAAATATCTGATAATTTGATGTACATATGTCTAATGATCATTTTCGATCGTTCATTTGGCTCTCTAAAACGGCTCGACCTGCTTTCCTAAAAATGTAATCAATTATTTATTTTGTTAAACAAGTGAAATATTCTTTTGAATCATTCAAATCGGAAGCTCCGTTCTCTCAAAAACTGAACTTCTATTTATGAAAATTTTTACCCTGTATCTTCAAATTTGCTGGACCTGCCTCTGTCAAAAACTAGTCAGCACGTCTCCCCATTAATAGGAATCGAATGTTTTTGAATCTATATATTTATTTTTTCTATATTTTCTTTTCTAGAATATGTTTTTTATAGTTTAGCATAATACAACATTGTTTGAATATCTAATACTAGTAGCTTTCAATACCGTTGTTTTATAAGCAATTCATCAAACGGCATCAACTTTTATTAATTTTTCTCTAAATCAGTACATCTATAAATCAATCTAGCCATTATTAATTAGTAGTAGTGTGATAGATACGTTTATCTACAATGTTTTCTATACTTTAGCGCCTTAGCTCCGCCAATATTAAAGATAAATAACTCAATTAAGCGGCCATAAATCATTTAATCGTTACGACTTATTTTGAATTACTCCTGAAAACGGAGAATGTAAGCCATATAATTTTAATAACGTGTTAAAAAACATATGCAAATGCAAATTATTGAGATGATCTTTCCGAGAGCTTAGTCAATGGGAAGTTAAATGTGTTGTAAGGAAAATTTTATGTTTTTTTTTTTCAAATTATGTTACTATAAACTGATTTAAAATTGAAATTACTTGTATTATTTTAATTATTTTTTTTACTTCAACATATCTTTAACCAATTGGCATGCATTCCGTGTCAGAAAAATTAAAACAAAGTTTTACTTCAATACCGTTGTTTTATAAGCAATTCATCAAACGGCATCAAAAGTTTATTAATTTTTCTCTAAATCAGTACATCTATAAATCAATCTAGCCATTATTAATTAGTAGTAGTGTGATAGATACGTTTATCTACAATGTTTTCTATACTTTAGCGCCTTAGCTCCGCCAATATTAAAGATAAATAACTCAATTAAGCGGCCATAAATCATTTAATCTTTACGACTTATTTTGAATTACTCCTGAAAACGGAGAATGTAAGCCATATAATTTTAATAACGTGTTAAAAAACATATGCAAATGCAAATTATTGAGATGATCTTTCCGAGAGCTTAGTCAATGGGAAGTTAAATGTGTTGTAAGGAAAATTTTATGTTTTTTCAAATTATGTTACTATAAACTGATTTAAAATTGAAATTACTTGTATTATTTTAATTATTTTTTTTACTTCAACATATCTTTAACCAATTGGCATGCATTCCGTGTCAGAAAAATTAAAACAAAGTTTTACTTATATAGGTACGTAGTGATTATTAACAAAATTGACTTAATTCTGCACTAAGTAATTTTTAAATCTTATTAAGAACTCTCACGTGTACAAATTCAAGAATTAGCTCGATTTAATTCTTCTGTAATTATAAAGCATTCGAATCAGATCTAGAAAGCTTAAATACATTTTTGTATTAATTAGCATCACTAAATAATTTTTTTATAAAACCATCAGAAAAAGTGATTAAATAAAAAACTTTGAATGATCATCATACATGCATTTTTTTATAATGCAGAGTTAGACACGATATTTCACCTTTGGGACTTAAATGCTTTTTAGTGTAAATTGCGCTCTTTTTCAAAAGCGTTCAATTCTTTTAAATATTACGAATGATGTTTTGTTTGTATTTTATACGTTTCAATAACAATATATTATTGTCAATCATGAGTCAACTCGAATCAAGTGATTTGAATTATTCGAATCCTATATAACCTGATTCGAATCACGTTTTACTTGATTCAAATCGACTCGTATCAAACCGAGAAATATTTACTGTGGTACAATATGTATAATCATTAATTTTAATAAATGTGAAAAAATAAGTTTGATAAATGTAAATATAAAAAAAATAATCATGCGAGCCACCCGAATTCAATCGACTCATTCGAGTTTAGGGCATAATCCGAATTGAATCGAATCGTTCGAGTTACTCGCATGATTCGAATCGATTCGAATCATTCGAGTTACTCGCAGGATTCGAATTGAATCGAATCATTCGAGTTACTTTACTCGCCATTCAACTTTGAGCAATTTCGATGAGAACAGACACAACCGAATCATTGTCTTCCTTGCATTTGTTCATTAGATGGAAAGCCGAGAGTGAAATAAAAATAAAATAAACACGATATCAATAGACCTAAGATTCAAAATATTGTTTTATTTGCATTGGTGATGCAGAAATGATTATCTATTATTGTAAATTAATTTGAAAATATATTTCAACCATATCCAAAATTAAATTATTTTCAATAATTTTTTTAATATTTTTTTTTATAATAAATTATTTTCACAATCTTAACTTTGTTTGGTATATTGATTAAACCGGACAAATTCTCTCATAAATTTTGTCCGCATTTACTAAAAAAAATACATTGATTTTTGTCTTAGCTTTTGTTTGTCCGTATATACGTTAGATTCGAGTTGATTCGAGTCATGATTTAAATCAGGTTTTTTGCTGATTCGAATCATTCGAATCAGAAATTTTTTGAGTCAACACATCACTAACAAAATAACTAATTCGACAATAGCAAACTGTAACTGGATTTTAAATTCAAACTAAAACAATATAGCAAATGTTATGATTGTACAAAGTTTATTTATATTTCGTATTTCTTATGAATTCTTCTTTTTTCCAGGCAAATGGTGTCCGCGCGGCCGCGAATGGCCGTCGCCTCAAGATCCGCGTGCGACGGACGCGGCGCGGAGAGGCGGCGTCCTGTATTCACAAATCTTCTTAGGGAGTCCTGGTAAGTCATAGATTTTTTACTCATCATTATCATTAATTCAAAAATTACTAGCTGATTTTTGCATCAATTTATGCACATATCATTATAATCGTCAGCGTTTTGAAAGTACACGAAATACTTTCTAAAAGGAATAATTCAACTATTGTGTCCTGATCATGAATGAGTCATTATTTAAATTGGGTAGACGGTTAACGGCCTGCTTGGGCGCAACAGTAGAGTTTGATTTGTTTGTAATACATTTTATTGTAATTTTATAATATACATTAAATTTAACTATTCAAAAAGTAAATTTTGTAAAAAAAACTGAACAGAGTGATATACAAATCATGATATCAAATAAAAACGTTATGAAAAATTAACCCTCTTGGTCATATGACTTTCATGTTACATTCCAAATTTTTTATATTGTACCAAATAATTATGGTAAGATGACACGTAAATCTTAATTCTATAACGTTTTAAAGACAAAGAGTATCAATATTTATGACCTTTGCTTTTCAACCTGAAATAACATTTTCATGGTCAGAAGTGCGAATATTATAGACCGCTGTGACTTGAAAGTCACATAATTCATTATTACCCAACATTTTGTTTAAACAGAATTTTTTGTTTGTTATTTGCATATTATAGGCTTACAATTACCAATTTTTTGTTTCTCTCATTTTTTAGATGTAAAAAAAAATCTGTTTAGACCTCTAGTCTATAATGTGGACTTCAGCTATTTTATTATAAGAAATCTTATAAATACAATTTTCATAATTTACTAATTTTTATTACAATATTTTATTATAAAAACAATTCAAATATATTTAATTTTACATCATTTAATAGAGGTATTTAAAACTAAAAAACAAAGCAGATAATCCAGGGAATAAAAATCTGTCAACACGTTGTGTCAATCAAAGCGGACGCAAATTGTGGTGGCGGGTTGTGTATCAGTTACAGTTACTAAAAAATTCGTAAAATCCTGAATAAATTTGATAATTAAGATCGTAAGAGTGTGTGTAAAATTTATGGGTGTCAATAAAAATAATTTATGGAGTCTGAAGTGCTAAAACACGATTTGTAGCGACGTTTGTTTCTTTGTTGTTTTTCTGAGGAGATCATCTATGATGTGATGATCATCTGTATAGATATATGTATGTGTATATATATACATATGTGTGTGAGTCATAATTTTAAAATATCATTTACAACTTTTTATTTTCCATGATTGACTAATGCGTCTGGCATGTGTTCACCAATGCAGAATGTGTAATGCGCATGGTCTATGCGACGGCTCTCAAACATCGTTTCATAAAATTTTAATCGTTTTAATAAACTAAAAACTAGTAGCTTTAAAGACAAGTTTTGAATGGGTAAACTGAAAAACCTATTGAATATTTTTTGAAAATTACTTATCAATGTTGCAGAGCTTTAAGGAGGTATTCTGGTCTAGAAATTTCAAATAATCGATTTGTTTTTTTATATTTTCCAAGGTTACCTATCCAAAAATATGTGGTAAATAAGATTTTTTATAATTCAGATTACTTTCGGAGATATAGCTACTTGCGTTTTTCTCGAAACTGTCTTTTTCGATACGATACCCACGATTTCTCAACTTTCAATTTCAATCTGTTGAAATTTTATAGACTTCTCATAAGTATGAATGCTCATCCCCAATTATAAAATTTACTAAAATGATGAAAACAACGTTCAAGTACAATATGTATTGTAGATATCTATTTTTATAGGCATGGTCCATCAAAGAAATGTTAAGCCAGATCTGCATAAATATTTCTTAAAAATTCTCAAATGACGTAAATTACTGCGCATACGGATCAGGCGACTTTTCGCATACGATATATACGCAAATCGTTTGCCATTTGATCTCTGCTGACTTATCGAATTATTAAATATCTATTAATCATTCTAATTACCAATCATAAAACATTATCGAAGTCATTAAACGTAATTTAAATTCAAAATAATTTTAATTGGTGTTCAATAGTTTGAAAAATGGGTGAGGTCGGTAATAATTTCAGTGCATTTTTTTTTGAATGAATGATCTAGATATGTCGCTGAAGTAATATGAGAAATTGAGTCTATAGAGATGAAAGCGTGATTTGTTCGTAAAATGTTAGCCTCAACCTAGTCGAATAGATATTTTTAAATGATAAGTTTTGTGCTCAATGTTTATTTATACCTTTCTCCTACTTTTGAAAATAAAAATTATATGTTCTATTATTTTAGAAAATCATTACTTTATAGTCGACGATTTGGAACTACGTACATTCCATCTTCAGGACATCTGTTACGATATTTACAACTATCCAGTTAAGGATATTTAGCAAATTTATTGATTTACAATTGTCAGCTGTAATAGGAAAATTGTATATCATAATGACACAACTCAATAGTTGTTTTTCCATTTGTTATAAATAATATTAACAATGTTATTATATATACTGATGTGGTAATAAAAAAATATTTGCAATAATAAATAATAAAAATTAAAAATTAATAGATTATATAATGGTATAATAAAATAAAAAACCTAAGGTTTTTAATAAAAAAAGTTGTAAAAGAGAATTTAGAAAACAAAATTGTTCCAATTCGAAAAAAACAATCTTCTAATCAAGGTTTTGTTCTTGACAGATGTCCTTAAGATGCAATCTACAAAATTACGTATACAAGATATAATAATTTATTAAAAAAATATATTAAGGTCTTGTAAACTAAACAACAGAGCTTACAACCAAAAAAACTACCAACGAAAGATAATACTTTTGTTATGGATTTTCAAACATTGGCGTTTATCTCCTGATAGCATCGTCGTTAAGAATCAAGCTGATTATTCATCTTTCTCCCTCTACTTTCAAATATTTTTGTTAGTAAATTTTAACTTTACTTGTTTTTAAAATCTGTGATGGATCTTTTTACCCGCGAATCTTTAAGCCTCGCTTCACCACTATTTATACCTATAAAGTGACATCCATTGAATTCAAGAACTTCGAAATTCAAAATTTTTTTGCAATAACTTTTGACACCAATACACAATACTATTTAAATTGATTAGGAATTTGAAAAATTGAATAGATCCAGATTCAAAATGACAGTATTTGTAACAATTCTATTGGCTCCGGTTGTAAGAAATGAATCACAGTGTCCCGGCAAAAGATTCCCACGCGGCACCAACCTGAGACTAGAAAATGTTTCGCTTGCATAATTTGCATATTTATCAAAAGTCGTTATAATCTCCATTTGCTAATGAACCGAGATCTCGTCCGTTAGCATTTTTGCAAAAGTCATCGCGTTAATGAATCGATAATGCCACAATTCGTTTCTCTGATCGGTTCTCGATGCGTCGCCGACTTTGTTACGGAGTCGCCGCTCAGCGTCCGCGATGAGGCAATAAGGCACGGAACCGCACCGAGCCAACCGCACGGATGGACGGCGGACCATCATCATCGGACGATCGTTGTCTCTGGGCGCTGTGTGTGCGTTCGCCAATGTGTCTTTAATTTTGTTTTATTTTTCTCCTCTTGCATTTATTTTCATTTTTATTCTTATTTTATTTTGTTGTTTTCGCTGCACAGCACAACGCCATTGTACAACCATAGCGCGCGCACTTATCGCATCTTTAATTAATAATTGCACACGATGCATGCTGGGACCTTCGCTTCGTCTGCTGTCACCGAATATCACATGCATTAAAGCGCTTATTTATTTTATTAATGAGATGTCTATGATTGTAGAAAATATTTATACGTAATTATGGGCATTAATAATCAAATAGCAAATATTGTGTCTTTTATGCTTCAATGGTTTTCTATGGTGTAATGGTTAAGCCCACGGACTCGCGTGGACAAGGTCAAACCCCGCTCTAGACAACTTGACATCGTGCAGCAGCGATATCCATTTTCACTTGAAAATATAGATGAAAATATGTTTCCAATCGAAAATAGCACATTTCGGTCACTGCGGTTTGACAATGGAAAATCTCGCACACTATTCTTCCCTAAATCGAGTTGGAGTTTAACTCAGGTCGCGGGCCTGCTCTAGGGAAGTATTACCCATTATTTATTTTTATATGCAGCAAGAGCATTATAGACATTGAGTGTAAAATTTTATAAGAGATTATATAAGATTTATATTTTTTTATGCCTTCTAACTATTTTGTCTTTACATATTTACATACATTTTCAAAATTTTTCACATTTGTAGGTAAGCATTTTTAATACATAATAGTACATTTTTATACATTATTTACATATTTTTACTTTTTTGCACATTTTTGTACGTTTCTGGATATTTAATACATTCTCGCATTTTTTATACATTCAACTACATTTCTATACATTTTAGCAAATTTTTATACATTTATGCATAATTTTTTCTCACAATTTAATACATTTTATTTTTCACAATATCGCTTTATTTTACAAGTTCTCGCACTTACCTATATACCTATAACTATATACATATATTATGTATTTTAACTAAAGATTTTTTTTTTCTTATGAGAAAGTGGCAGATCAGAATCAAAAACTTGGGATATTTGACGCTTTTATTCCGACGAGAGTTAATCATCCGTTCAAATTAATGATACTATGAAACTGTGGGAAAACGTAAAAGCTTTGATATGAAATTTAGGATGTAGACCCTTCTAAAAAAATAGATAAGAAAATGTTTAGAATGCAAAAGCAAGTAATCTTGGTTTAAAAATCTACGTTATCGATCAACTACTGAAATTAAACTATTGAACAGTATATAAATTATTAATATGGCACAGAATTATGTGATGCAATTCAAATGTGAATAGGAACAAAGTTAAATTATAATTAAATTTATATTTATGTTAACAAAGATTTTGATCAAAAATAATTATCAACTTTGAATTTAAAAATATATATATATATATATATATATATATATATATATATATATATGATTTAGTAGTTAATTTTGATGTTGAAATATATGAGTGAGTATATACTCATTCATATATATATATATAT